AGCATGGACAAGCAGCAGGTCTTTGGTTCCTCCTACGTGGACATGCCTTTCTTCGCGGCCAATGGTACGTACGACGCCGCGCGCGGCCGCTGTTTCTTTGCGCATGCGATGATGCGGCTTCTGTAGCTTCAGTTTCACCGGCCAGGAGCCCAGGACACGCATGTGATGCCCTTTTTTCGGTTCCGTGTGTGTAGGTGCAGCCACGGCACAGGGGGAGAGCCGGCCGAGGGCGCGGCGCAGGAGGCGGAGGGCGGCGAGGTGCGGCGGAGGGGACGGTGACGGCGGGGACATGGACGGAGGAGGGGATCCCAAGAAGCGGCGGCTGACCGACGAGCAGGTGCACGGTCTGGAGCTGAGCTTCCGGGAGGAGCGCAAGCTGGAGACCGGCCGAAAGGTTCATCTCGCTGCCGAGCTCGGGCTCGATCCCAAGCAAGTCGCCGTGTGGTTCCAGAACCGACGGGCGCGACACAAGAGCAAGCTTATGGAGGAGGAGTTCGCCAAGCTCAAGCACGCCCACGACGCGGCCATCCTCCACAAATGCCATCTCGAGAACGAGGTATGCTTGCTCGCACACACCCACACTGGCATACATATGGCGCCGTACATCATAAATTCCTCTCCGTTCTTGCACAAGCTGACTGACGCACATATGGCCAGTTGCTGAGGCTGAAGGAGAGGCTGGGAGCGACCGAGGAGGAGGTGCGGCGCCTCAGGTCGGCAGCTGGGAGCCACGGAGCATCCGGCAACGGCGGAGACGCCGCTGACGCCGTTGGCGCGTGCGGCGGGAGCCCGAGCTCGTCCTTCTCGACGGGAACCTGCCAGCAGCATCCGGGTTTCAGCGGCGCAGGCCAGCTGGGGCCGGACGATGAGCTGATGATGTGCGTCCCCGAGTATGGTGGCTACGCCGATAGCAGCGTGGTCGAGTGGTTTAGCCTCTATGGGCTAATTTGAAATTGAGACGAGCTGGGTATCAACTGGATGCAGATCGATTACTATTCTAGTTAGCCATAGTGTTAATTAAGCTGGGGTGATCTCTAGGGCGTGCCTGTTTAATTATGTAGATAGTGTTGATTAATGGCAAAGCTTGCAAGCTAGCAAGTGTAGTACTACTGGTAGCTCTCTTGAAGTTCAGAGATGATGTGTGCTATCATTTGATATATATTTTACTTCAGCAATAAATAGTCTTCTCGCGGGGAGGCACTGTGTATGTGCTAGTTGGCAATCATCTTAAGTAGGAGTTTGCTGCTGTTAGCTCTAAATATTGATGATGTTGATGTTGGTGGTGACTGCTGAGTACAGTATACAATTTCGATCTGTCCAGTAATAACAAATTAAAATGATGATTAATCGCTGGTTTTGGTAAAAATGAATGTAAATTTCGAAAGGATGACACTTTTCATGGCCACTGCGCCCTTACTACAAACTTTTGTATGTTAGCCCTTGTGCCCTAATATAACTTTGTAAAGCATGAACTTTGTTTATATCAGTTCATTTCTTCATGGCTACATATGGCCATTTCGCTCCTGTGTACTTATATATATACTGCTCCAACTTCATCTTTGATAAAGTTATGAAGTCCGAACTACAGAGCACATGGAGTAACTTCAACAAATTTAATTGTAAGAACTGGTCGCAAAATATGTGAAAGTCACATTGTTAGGACTTTAGACCTAGACGGAGAATATTATGCAGCAGCTGTCATAAAATACTCCTCTAACCTATGATTAAATGAATAATTTTGCATCATAAATAGCTCTCATATATAATACTCCCCCATCCAAAATAAGTATCATGGTTTTAGTTCAAATTTTGGATCAGAGAGAGTACAAGAATAGAACGTACTCTCAGGCATGTGGCACCAAAATAGAATGTAATTAAGTTGCATCTTGCTGAATTTGAAAATTTTGTGCATCAGATTCTTAGTAATAAATGATGCGATCGAATTTCAATATTAATTTGATAAGAGTTTATGGTGATGCAGGACTTGATGCACATTTTAGGGGAAAATCGGGCCAAAGGCTTGAATGGTCCACTTTCATCATGGTTTCGACTATGATCCTCCACTTGTGCTAATTTACCACTCCCTCCGTCCCTTAATGGTTGTAATACCATCTTATATTACGGAACTGAGGGAGACTTCAAGAAAGCTTCTTGCTGATGGGCGCCTCAAACTCTCCATTGGCAGGTGCGGCACTAGTCAGTACGTAACATATTATCCGTGCTGTGTTCAATAGAAATCATGTAGCCCTAACGGGCAGGCCATGGCTACCTGTCAGTGGCAAGCCTCACAAGTGACGAGCACCTAGTGCAAGCTCGTCACCGAATGGTTAGCTATAAGTGTTGAGATTTTATTTCTTTAGGGATGAATGCATTGCGCAACATATAGGTCATTTTCGACCACACAACATTTCATTCAGAATAGTTGCATTACACAAATGAACATTGCAACATATTTAGTTGATTAGTACTCTCTGCATTCACTATTATAAAATGATTTGGATATTTCAATACGAACTACGTACGGACTGAAATGTTTGAACAAACACACTAAAATACATCCACACTATAGGTTTCATGGTTGTTGTTTTGAGAAAAAGAGGCAATGGCAATGTGGAGGCATCGACAAGGAGAAGAAAGTAGCAGGTGGAGTTCTACGCTACGGTGCATCGACTGTAAATTAAAATTTTCCTACGCGCAAATCAACCAGAAACATGCTATGAAAGATGGATCATGGATCGTTACCACTAGACGTGCAGTGCCGTGCAGCGGAAGAAGAGTTGGGGCAGCGCGTTCACTAGGTTCGTCTCCTCCTTGTCCGATCTCCCTCAAACAACTGGTCGTCGGATCCCATGTACTCGTTCGCCGAAGCGGCGTGCCTTTAACGGTATTCGTGCGTGCAGGAGGAACACCGTGCGGCGGACTACTAGGTCTGATCATGCAGTCGGCAGCGAGTGGAGGTGGCTATTCTCAACACATGCAAAACCTAGTAACAACGCTGAAGCGATCAACCGAATGAGTGTGCCGCACCTCCACTATATATAGGCATTCATCGTGGGCTCAAAACTTAGGCCTCGCACGGGCCCTAAAGCCCAAAGTCTGTTCGGCTTGGATCCGAGTCCGAGTAGGATCTCATCTGACTCATGGAGTCGGATCCGGCCTCGCAGGTTCCTTCCCTTAAGCGGACGACCCCTTAGGTTCAAGTCGGCTTGGTTGTAGGTCGGATCCCCTCCGACCTTCTCGGCTGATAGCGACCTCTAGAAAGACGTGCCAATCACCAATGAAGCCGGTTGGCGAACCTGTACAACATGTCACACTTTTATTCCCTTTGCCACATAATATATGTTGTTGGGATCAAGGCGAGTTTGTCATACTTGTGGTAGCCCGACCTCTTTTCTCGTTCCAATGATGCCGACAACAAAACGGATTATCTCATAATCGTTTTCGCATGGCCATGCTTATCTTTGTCGGATCACACGAGGGTCCCAGAGTATATCTCTTTCGATGAGGGGCAAATTCCATTTTGCTCGACCATGTCTCGCGGCATAGGTCTGAACAAGTCTGAAACCTACTTTTGTAACTACCCAGTGTAACATCCCAAATTTTCAATTTGGAATGTTATACAATAGATCATCATTGCATATCATATTTATTTGCATTTTGGGTTGATCCTAGAAATTCTACGCAACTCAAGGACCCTCGGAGAGAGTTGGGGATTTCGTTATTTTCATATTTGAGTTTTCTCAAATTTTGAAAATATGATCATTTGATTTTATTTATTTTATCTTCAGTTATTTCTATTATAAAAATATGACAGAGGGAATAAAATGACTTTCCCAAAATAAAGAAATATTGAGGATTTAATCAAATAATCAAATAAGATTTTATTTTGGTTTTAGTTGCTATTTTTTTTTGAATTTAGGAAAAATGCGCATTTTTCGAAATTGCATTTAGGCCCCAAATAAATGTTCATCCTGTGCGGCTTGATTTTAAAAGCCGGGGAAAATTTATTTCAGAATTTTTGGAGTCCGTTTAGTATTTTTTTGTTTTTTTTCTGAGCATAATTATTTTAGAAAAAAGTCCGAACCGACCTCCGGGCCGTGTT